CTCAATGTTAACTTCACCTCTAGTGGCTGTCTGCCAGCCACTAGAGGGCTTCCTGGTTTGAAACTGACCTTTGGTCCAGTATCTGACACTGGATGTCCTCACGCACTGCATGAGGACCTCCATCGTCAGATTTTTCCCCATAAGAATTTGATTAATGCTTTTCTATGTGGAAATCCTAATGCGAGCGTGGCCATTGCCGTGCTTACGCATTAGGTCTCCCCGGAGCCTGACCCAGCGCCGAGGGACATCACCGCTGGATACAGGTAAGTGACTGAAGGGGTTTGCAAGGGAGGGGGTTACCTATTGGGACCTATAGTGCCAGGAAAACGGCTTTGTTTTCCTGGCCTAAAATAGACAATCACAGAAAAATAGTCGAGTCTGATCATTTTTGCAGGTTGCCAAATTTGTCATAACATTTGCAGTTTCCTTGGCCATGGCAATTCCTTATGAGTAACAATTTATGGATTAAATTCCTGTCACTTTTTTCTCTTTAGTAAAATTAAAATAATCTGTGTCTGTAATCCAGGAATATAATGCTAGATATTGCCATCAACCATACTGAGTACTTTAAATAAAATAAAAATTCAAGCTACCACTGGAGAAAACCACCTGCAGTGACCCTTGTAAGGTAAATGGCTTTTTTAGATGTCTATTTTTATTTTAGTACAGCATGCCTTTTCTGATTATATGATCTGTATGTGACATATGTATTTTATATGTGTTCGTTTTAAATATTTTTTTATGAAAGAGAGGAAAAGCATTGAATGGAATAGAAGTATTGAATAATACATACATCGTATACATTTTTTATATTGTTATTGAATCAAAGACAGTTTAACATAGTAGACATTCATGAGAGAGTTAAATCCATTAGATAATATTACTTGAGATATAAGACCAATGTTATGTTAACAATATGAAACCAGAGCTAGAGACAAGTAAAAATAGCTTAGAAGTAAGCAACCACAGTAAAGGAGTTTAAGCATGCGTGGGATAGGCATAAGGTTCTCCTAACTATAAGATAAGGCTAGGGACTAATGAAAGTATTTAGGAAATTGGGCAGACTAGATGGGCCGAATGGTTCTTATCTGCTGTAGCATTCTATATATCTATGTTTCTATGTTTCATAGATTGCACTCTGAATTATTCTAAAATCATGTTCTGGTGATATACATTTGAAAAGAAAATAGAAAGGGAAGGGGTGAGAAGGAGAGAAAAAAAGGGGAGAAAATGAAAGGAGTTTTCTTGTAGATTCGCAGACCTCTCAAATAATAATTTTTTATTTTAGTAAAAACAGCATCCACCAGAGAAAGGTGAACGCGAAATTCAGAATAAATCAAGAGAAGGCAAGGATATTTTAGAAATCCATGTAGCACTTTTCAAACTTTTATAATCATTCACAATGGCAAGCTTTAGCCTTCCAAAAGTTACTAACAAAAAAAAAAAAACTTAACCATTTTTTTGTACCATGTACGTAGGCAAAGCTACTGATATTGTTTAGTTCTTTATTATTTTCTTAATTCTCTTTCTTTTAAGAGTAAAATATAACCATCATGGGAGAGTCACAGCGAACACTGTTTAAAAACAGTTCTTTAAGCGTAATGACTGGACAGGAAGGGGGTCAAAGGTAGCTGCAAATTCAGGGTAGGCTACAGAGGTGATACATAGTTATAGATGGGATGTTAATGAGGGATGGTGATCATGGGGGACTACATGCAAAGAGAGAGAAATATTGGTGGATGCAAAGCAAGAATGAGGGAATAGCGGCTGCATTAAAAGGATAAAGGTTCATTCCGTGTGAGTTTTGGAAATTTATAGACATTGCCTTATATTTTATTTAATTAGGTTTTCAAAACTTTATTTTTACATATATATTGTGGAAGCTGCCTTTATTGTGAAAGCTGCAATTAAGAATATAATATGGTTGTATAACTTTTATACCTGCTAATTAATTTTCTTTTATTATAGTTTTGGATTTTTTGTGCAATTTTTAGTGCGTCGACACAAACCACTTTATTTATGAATCGTGTATTGTACATTGTTGTTTTCAGGGACTATATAATCTCGCTTTTTTTGTGCCTTTATTATTTTGTCACATTTTCTGTTTAAATTGTTTATCAATTGCTGACGACATATGCCTTCAATCCCCAAGTTTGTTGTTTTATGAACACACTGTAATCGACCAAGCTTTAAGCAATTCAACAGAATAATTTGGTTCTTATGGACGGTTCCTGCATGCTCAGAGTTATTTACTAAAATGAGAATTGTCTGGCTATTAAATGTTTGGATATTTTGGCCATACATTTGGAATTTACTTTCAATTTCTGACTTTTCTCACTTTAAAGAAAAATAATTCTGCTTGTGTTTTTCAAAATCTACACTCCATTTCTACCTAATGATCTCAGCTGATACATCCATTATGTGACGGAGCTCCCGTACTCTGACTGAGTAACTCTGCCCATAGCTGCTTTCAGGAACTCCGGAATGCTTCGGCCCCAGTTGCCAAAACTTGACTGGGGTCTCTCCTGAGCTCTTCCACCTGACCAGGCTGCTGCTATCTCCATCCAGACAGGTATCATCCCCTCTGCTGCTCTCTCCATCCAGACAGTTATCCCCACCTCTGCCAGTAATATAGAAACATAGAATGTGACGGCAGATAAGAACCATTCGGCCCATCTAGTCTGCCCAATTTTCTAAATACTTTCATTAGTCCCTGGCCTTATCTTATAGTTAGGATAGCCTTATGCCTATCCCACGCATGCTTAAACTCCTTTACTGTGTTAACCTCTACCACTTCAGCTGGAAGGCTATTCCATGCATCCACTACCCTCTCAGTAAAGTAATACTTCCTGATATTATTTTTAAACTTTTGTCCCTCTAATTTAAGAATGTCCTCTTGTTGTGATAGTTTTTCTTCTTTTAAATATAGTCTCCTCCTTTACTGTGTTGATTCCCTTTATATATTTAAATGTTTCTATCATATCCCCCCTGACTCGTCTTTCCTGTAAGCTATACATGTTAAGATCCTTTAACCTTTCCTGGTAAGTTTTATCCCGCAATCCATGAACCAGTTTAGTAGACCTTCTCTGAACTCTCTCTGGTATCAATATCTGTCTGAAGATACGGTCTCCAGTATTGTGTACAATACTCCAAGTGAGGTCTCACCAGTGTTCTGTACAATGGCATGAGCACTTCCCTCTTTCTACTGCTAATACCTTTCCCTATACAACCAATTAACTCCTGCCTTCATAAATGCACGTTTGACTTTGCCCCATGCTACAGGGACCATGCAGCCTGCCAACAGGTCCAAAGACTCTGTTACTGGGATCCTAGAACAAATTAGACTAGCAGAAACATGTATGCTTTATTTTATTTTGAAAAGAGCCTAGCTGTTGCCGACTTAAGCATGTGGTGAAAACCATAAAAATATATACAAACATACCTAACTTGAAAAACACCCAACACAATACTGCGTCAAATATAAAATACAATTAGAACTTTCCAAACTATGGAAAAGCACAGATATACATATGCAACTGTTTTATTTTATCTCCTAATTTGCATATTGGAATTTTACCAATCCATTTTCACTTTTACCAACATAGGACAATGGAGAGTCATCACATGTCTGATAGCAACAAGGGTATCCCAACCTTAAAACAATGGCAAAACCAAACCAGGGGGGAACGCAGTCCAAATGACCCCAGTGTACATGCCTCCTCAAAACAGATGATAATGTCCTTTTAACACTTGACTGTGGACTTAAAGAGTGATTATTAAAGTGGAAACAGAATATTATTATACATAACAATATCTTGGAGAAGCCGCAAGTCTTATTTCATTGGAATAGACCCGAAGAATTTTTAACATTCCAAGGGTTTTTGCATCATTTCTAATCATATCTAATGCAACTATTACTTTCTACATTGTTTGATTTCTGTGAAGAACCCATCTTCTTTGTTTCCTCAAACTCTTTTAGTGTTAACATAATCCCACAAGGAAAAAAAAAACATGCAAGCTTTTAATTTTCTTTGGAAAAATAGCTTCTTGAACATTAAAGAATGTGATTGCTTTAGCTCTTAACTTACAGATTTTCTTCTTTCCTTAGTTTGAAATTGAAACTTCAGTAACTATTTGAAATATGGCTGTAAGACGGTAAGAAGATTGTCTGTTTCTTTTAAACATCAATACGTATAATAGAAGCTTGTTAAGAGCCTCGGGGCACACACTCTTGTTAATAATTCAACAGCATGGTAAGAATGTATTAGTCAGACAAGATCTGTGTGATACAATATGAAAGTGGTAGGTAACATCACAATCATTTGTTCTGGAGACAAGAGGTTTGATGTATGAGAATATTGTTCATATCATTTTTTTGGTGTTTTTTTTTACCAGGCATTTGGTGCAGCTGGGTAATTCTACATGGCTGTTTATGGTTATTTAAGCAGAACAAAAATATATACTTGCTCAAATTAGATATGTAAAGATTGATACTGTTTTTGGTTTTTAAATCAATGTTATTTTCAAGTTCTGGGCCAACGTTTGACCTTTGTGAATGTTCTAGGCATTGCACATGGGTTCCCTCATGCCCTAAGCTAGTGCCAGTATCCTCATTGATGTCCGGTGTCGAGGTGTTGGCTTTCCATGGAAGGTAGTGGCCACAGTCTTGGACTAACAGGACAGTAATTAGGTTGGTACTTATGGCAAGATGCCTATGTTTTTTGTCTGAGGGCAACATTCAAAGGAAAATATTCCTTTCCTGCGGGATGGTGCAATCCACTTGTTGAAGAGTGTTGCCCGTCTTTGTGACTGCCAGCTGCCAAAATGTATTTCCTTTCTAATAGCAGCAGCTGCCAAGGTTTATTTACCTTCTAACAACAGAGGAAGGCTGGTACAGTGTCAAAATAGGCTTCTCCCTGGGAGATCACCCAATGCAGACGGCGTCATTGCTTTATGGAAAATCAAGAGCCCTTACATAAAAATAAACAGCAAGGCAGAGCCAAGCAACTAGCAGCCCAGACGTGTTCACCATGAGCTCCCACGTCTGGGGACAAAAACCAGAGTGCTTTACCCAGCAATCGGCACTCACAGAACACAAGCAACATTATTCACACCCGGGAGAGGTGTCTGCATCAGACGGTGCCTTTCTCAAGCTCCTGCGAAATTGGACTGACACACCGAGACTTGTGGCCTACACGAGACTGAGTCACTGAGACACGGCTGCTCTCCAGGCTCTTAAGCAGAACCTGGGACCCCTGTGAAATCACTTCTCCCACCCCCCTTGGACCGGTGGGGGTCATCCTGGTCAACACAGAGTTACCCCACTCACCTTGCTGATTGGCAACAGGCAACTAATATTGCACAAAACTGAGACCCAGCACTCCTACTCAAAATGGCAGACGCGCCCCCTTCAAGCGACACGTGTCAGCAGTCAGCCAAGCAAGATGGGTGCACCACACTAGATCGTATGCTACAGCACTTTGATGAGATATTAATCTGTTTGTGGCAGCAGATGGAGGTATGTGCAGCTGCTGCAGCTGGGGGTCAGAGGAGCAGATGGAGGCAAGCAAGAGATGGGGTGCATGAGGCCCCGTTGGGCACAACCTCCGACCAAGCATCCAAGCCTCACACACCTAGCCCACCTAGGCAGAGAGCCAAAACGGATTCCCTCTCAAAGCATCCCCCAAAGAGACAGAAGTGAAGACCCCACAAGAGATGACTGACTACCCAGAGCTTCTGTCACCTCCCAGAGAGGAAGGATTTGGACTCGGAGGAGAGACCCCAGGTCCGGGGTACAAAGATGCAGGCCCTCAGCAAGGCCAGGCAGGTGGGATGACAAGTGTAACCCCTACCCAGAATTGCCTCTGGTATGCACCCTGGCAACCCCAGCAACCTCTCGAGACTTTCTCGCTTTACCGAGCCAGGACACGATGCTATATACTGCCCGTCTGCACCCAGGCTGACAATGCCATTAATTTTGCATTTTAATTTTGAGTTTAAGTTAACTTTATGTTTTAGTTAATCTTTTAGTTGCCTGCCTCTATCTAAACACACTCTATGATAAAGTGAGGTGTTTCAGGGATTAAACACGCTATTAGCCAGTTCTATTATAGCCTGCTAGCATGTTCTATTTTTTAATCAGCATAAAAAAGCCTAGCATAGACTTCACATTTAAGACCATGTTTAACCCCTTAAGGACACATGACATGTGTGACATGTCAGGATTCCCTTTTATTCCCGAAGTTTGGTCCTTAAGGGGTTAAAGAACTGTTGCTAACAAAATCTTGATTGATTCATCCCTACATAAGTTTACGCAGAAGTCCAGCATGTTTCTTATCTTTATAAATGTTTACCATGATATAAAATTGTGCACATTCACTCTACTACCCCAATTGTAAAGCTTGTTATGATGCCAGAGGATTAACTCTTATTATTTTACTTTTTTCACTTATTCAGTGAGCACTATATTATTTCTCCATCTCTCCACATACCGAGGAGTTCCCCATTTCTCCATCACCTATATCCTATCAGTGGAGGATCAACGCCACTGAAAGCCATCACTACTCGAGCAAGTTTATGCTCAGAAATAGGTGAGTGGACCATCTGCTATTAGAATCTCTTATTAATTTATCCGCTGAATTACAATCTGCACTATTGGAGTCTCTCTGTTCTTCTTACATGTCCATATATCTACTATTGAACTGAGACATCCTCAACATAAGAAGATCCAGCTACCTTTTGGACTTTTTCTAGACTCCAGTACCCCCACAGGTTTTATCAAAGACTTTTAAAATATTGGGATTAATTTTCCTGTGTATTTATATATTTGTCTTATCCCATCTAATATTTACTCTTTCAATTACCATATAGCGCAACCTATATATTTTCTTTTGTTTGTCCTATAACTTGAGGAATAAAGAGGGAACCTCATTCTTATAGGTTGCTGCTTTCCTATTTGTCTTTTAGCTTCTACTGACTCTTTAGCGCTGTCCCACTACTTTGTTGTTATACTCAAATATAAGTCTAGTTTTTCGCACATTATTTGTGCTGAAAAACCCCCACTCGACTTATACTCGAGTCAGTGTCTGTATTAAGGCAACTTACATTGCCATAATACAGACCAGGACCGCCGGGCTCATTACAAGCCCGGCGGTCCTGTTGGGGGCTGGCAGATAGCTGTTACTTACCTTCCTGCAGCTCCTGTCAGCTCCCTTCTCCTCCACTGTAAGTCTCGCGGTGTGACTGCCGCGCGGAGCGTTGCCACGGTAACTCGTGGCAACGCTCTGACCCCGCGGCTCTCGCGAGACTTGCAGTGGAGCTGACCGGACCAGAGGAGAAGGGAGCTGACAGGAGCTGCAGGAAAGGTAAGTAACAGCTCTCTGCCAGCCCCCCTCCTACACAGCCCATCCACTGGACCACCAGGGAATGAGAGCCCCCCTCCCTGGCCAGCTAACAAGCAGGGAGGGGGGATGAAAATAAAAATTAAATAATAAAAAAAAAATTACTATAAAAAAATGTAAATATTAAAATTAAAAAAGTAAATAATAAAATAAAAAATAATACTAAAATTAAAATATTAAAATTAAAAATAATAAAAATGCCCTCCCCCACCCAGTTCACACACAAACACACACTCATACAAACACACCCTCTGCATTGTATATACACACACACACTGCATTATATACACACACTCATACAAACACACACTCTGCATTATACACACACTCATACAAACACACACTCTGCATTATATACACACACACTCTGCATTCACACAAACACACACTCTGCAATATATATATATATTGCAGAGTGTGTGTTTGTATGAGTGTCCATATATAATGCAGAGTGTGTGTTTGTATGAGTGTGTGTGTGTATAATGCAGATTGTTTGTATGAGAGTGTGTGTGTATAATGCAGAGTGTGTGTTTGTATGAGTGTGTGTATATAATGCAGTGTGTTTTTGTATGAGTGTGTGTGTATAATGCAGATTGTTTGTATGAGTGTGTGTGTATAATGTAGAGTGTGTGTATGAGTGTGTGTGTGTGTAATGCAGAGTGTGTGTATGAGTGTGTGTGTGTATAATGCAGAGTGTGTTTGTATAAGTGTGTGTGTGTGTGTGTATATAATGCAGTGTGTGGGTTTGTATGAGTGTGTGTGTGCATATAATTATAAAAATCACAGAATTTCATAGCCCCAAGTTTTACCTTCGACTTATCCACGAGGCATAGCATATTTCACAATTGTTGGTCACAAAACTGCACTCGACTTATACACGAGTATATACGGTAATTAAATTGCTATATGAATAATCTTGCACAGAGCAACAGTCTTTAAGTGGCACAACTTAATCTGGAATTTGAGATAGATGTTCCAGGACATTTGGCTATGCAAGGTCTATCTGGAACATGTAAAAATAAGTGTCACAAATAAAATTTTCTGTATTACCCATATGGAAATTGCAGTCTGCAATGAGATATTGCAGCAGGCTTTCCTCCAGCACAAATTAAAGTTAATAAGATACCAAAGCCACAGCCAAGTGTATATGGTTGCTGGTGAAAGTGAAATTTTAACCAGTAATAAACACACGTATATGTGGAACCATGCCATTGGAGTAGATTTGGAGTTTAATTTTGACCCTAATTGCAATTCATCCGAATTTGGGCCGATCAGTTGATTGGTCGAATTTCTAAAACTCCTGAAATGTAGACTGAGCACTTTATATATACAGTGAGTGTGTGTCCACCATTTTATGAGGTATCCCATAGTGACTAATGCTAGAGAAAAGCCAGATTAGTATTTTTTTATGTGCTGCAGAGTGTGTGTGTATTGAAGAAGCAAGTCAGGAGATTCTGTCCGTTTATTGTTCCTAAACAGTTTGCACAAACTCATTAACTGGATTGCTGGATTAGATAAGGAACACATTGTGAGTTTATTGCAACAGGTTGTAGTAACACTTGACTCTCAGCTCTGGATTACACAAGGAAGTAATTGTGAGTACTGTACAACTCTAACAAATAGTGATGTCGCAAACTTTTCGCAAACGGTTCGCGAACAGTTCGCCATGAACCGTTGGCCATGAACTCCAGTCAGCAGACACATCCCGGCCAATCTGCAGCAGACCCTCCCTCCCAGACCCTCCCACCTCCTGGACAGCATCCATTTTGAAGCTGCCTTCTGTCACATATTCATCCGCTTATAGAAATGTGGTTAATGACATTTACTGTCCACACAGGAAAAGTTGTGCCGAGCAGCAACCTAATCCACAGAAGGGGTTAATGCTGAGCAGTAATTGTGCAAATGAAACCTGGTGTCATGTGTTTTCATCCGCTTAGAGAAAAGTGATTAATGACATTTACTGTCCACACAGGAAAAGTTGTGCCGAGCAGCAACCTAATCCACAGAAGGGTTAATGCTGAGCAGCAATTATGCAAATGAAACCTGGTAACTGACTTTGGGGTCAAAGGCCGGTTACAGCCTATCAGAACTAAAGGAGGGGTATTTAGGCCCAGTTCTCAGCCTGCTCAGTGCCCTGTCGTGGTTTCCCTTGTGGTTGTCTGAGAGCGCGTTCCTGTTTATAGTTTTCTACCTGGTTTTTGACTTTGGCTTTGTTTATTGACTTCTCTATATTCTGGTATCCTGACTCCTGGCTTTCCTCATCGCTGTGTCCCTTTCTGTGTTCCCTGACCTCGGCTAGTATTTTTGACTATTCTTTGTACGTTAAATCCGGCCATTCTAAGGACCGGTAATACGTTACTTATTTGTCATCCGTGCTGTACAGTTCTACGTGCTGGATCAAACAGTAATCCTGACACCTTCATTCTCAAGTGGCAAAGGGGATATTACCTCAGCTAAAATTGACCAAATATAGGAAACTACATTCGATGGCACTACCCCCAAGATTAATGCAACTATAGCTGGGTTATTATTTTATTAGATCATTACAGACTACTGAGGACTTAGGTTTACTGTTGTCATAAGATGTTATTGTGAATAGAATATATATTCCTATTTTGTTATACTGTATGTTATTGGGTGAATCAAAAATTCCAACAGGAAATGCAATATTATATTTGAAGATTTGAATGTGTGGTTAATTACATTTCCTGTACTAGAATCTTATAGCATCCTATATCTTATTATTTTAGGGTGTCCCCTATAGGAGGAGGCACTATGTCATACAGGCATCTCTTCTGAACCCAATTTCCTTCCCTTTACACCCACTCAAAAAAACGAATTACACAGCATTACACTATAACCTGTCAGGGAAGGATGGGAAATGGTGCTGCAGATGGCAGCACTGCTGAGATAGAGCCGCAGGACAAACTCAGAAGAGATGTGTCTTTAAAAACTAGGAGAGGTGATAGAGTGACCAATGCAGGAAGTGGTACCAATTCATATGTTCATTCTTTGCTATGGAAATTTACGATGGAATTTGGGGTGCAAGACATAGAAAAGTCACCATTACACCCAGTTCTACGTCAGGAGATTGAAGATCTTTGAGGCAATATGCTGGACACTGCTATAATTGCTCAGCCAGAGTCACTATTTGTTTTCTTTATTACTTGGTATATATATATATAATATCAGGTAAATATTTTATTTTCAAAATGCTTTAACTGCAAAGTATGTAAATTTCATAAGTTCGTATCCCATGCTGTGTTTTTATAATTTAATCATACACAAGAGGCTGCTGCAGGCTATTGCAGGCAATTAACAGAGCAGAAGAAAATACATTCTAAATTAAACATAATTACAATAAAGGAAGTTTAAAAATTAGTGTGTTGGGCCGCTATGTGAGTCACAGTCGGGAATGTGTGGCTAGGGCTGCATAAACAAAGCGATTTAACTCCTAAATGACAGACAACTGAGCATTAAGACTACTAGTGAAGGTGCAGGCAACCTTCAGCACACTAGATGTGGACTACATCTCTCATAATGCTTTTACACCCAAAAGGCTGACAAAGTATCAAGGGAAATGCAGTCCATAACATCTGGAGTGCCAAAGGTTGCCTAGCCTTGTTCTAGAGTGTGCCTTTTATACACTTTGAATTAAAGAGAAAAAAATAACATATAACATTGTTTATGAAG